CACAACACGAGCCTCCGTACATGAAACAAAGTTGAATTTGATAAATTCGTCTCTCCTGGCGACCTGCAAGCAGCGACACAAGACTATTTTTAATTTTTCACAGCCCTCTTCTTTGTCTACAATGCCTGACCATACTGCTGCACACCCACCCATAGTAAACAGCCTTACGTCAGTTTTTTACCCTACAGTTCCAATGTCCATGCGTGGTTTATGCAAATTGAGGCTCAGTTTTGCAAACAGAAGGCTGCTTATCAGTCATTAAAGTACCTACACGTCGCTTCTTTCCTACCAGCAGATGCTGCAACTCAAGTTCTTGATCCAATTGAAACAATGCCTTCTGAGAGCCTCTATGATAAGTTACAAACTGCTGTTCTTGCACGGATGACTAGGTCGAACGAGGCTCGTCTTTGACACATCCTCTCTGGTACTGAACTGGGTAACAGGTCGCCTTTGCCTAGTGGGATAACAAGGTCGATGATTGTGTCATGCGCCAGGTATGGACTAGGTGTCTCCCCGTGAACACCAAGGCCACTATTTTAATCCTGGCTTCTGACACATCACTGGGGAAATGTGCTGAAATAGCCGGTAAAATCCGCGAGCGTTTATCCCAAGGGCTGGATGGCGAGACTGTCTCGTCTGGCGCCATAACTGGCACTTATAGGCATTAATAATTTGGAAGAATGGATAGGCAAACTGTCATTGGATTTTGGTGAACTTACTGGAGGTAATCCGAGCAGCTTCTACAGACATCGGCGACGTCGAAAACTTTCCTTATTGAGTTTTCGCCAATCTGGCCAATCTAGGGAACGATCAAGCCTATGTAGGCACCATCAGTGGTAGGGTAAAAAGACAGAAGCATTTAAATGTCCATTTAGAAAACATATATTTGTATATCTTCATTATCTTGCACACCCCGATGTTCGCGCCACCGTGCCCTTGATAACTGACCGTACTTTGTTGCCATGCATTCGTACAGATGTTCGCTTATGGGCTAACCTCTATACTCTATGTCAACGCAGTAATGTCCACTGCCGTCATATTTCACAACCTGAGCCTTTTCCCTCCCAGAGATGTACGTATTGATTTAGTTGGACCTCTTTCGCTGTCTAGGGGTTTCATCTATGTCCTAACCTGTGTGGATCATTTTACTAGTGGGCCTATTGCAGTACGTATTTAAGACGGTATTCCCGGTTCTATCACATTTGATCGTGGAGCACAATTTACTTCCTGTTTGTTCCGGGATCTAAACCGCCATCTTGATGCACACATTTTCAAATTACAAGTAGTTGAAAATGTGGCTTGGTTGAGCGTTTTTTACCGTCAATACAGCCATCATTGCAAAATCAGCCTCTAATAACTGGTCTGACCATTTACTTTTGACTTTACTGGTCATCTGCCAGCAAAACTTGTATTTGGTACAACTTTGTGTCTGCCTGGTGAAATGGTCACTAATTCTTATCACACCATTGGGCTCCCATCTTCATCGTATGTCTGCCAATTATGGTACTTCATGAAGACTATTCGACCAACACCTACAAGAATATCCTCAAGACAAGCACGGATTCAATCAAGTTTGCACACTTCTCTTTATGTATTTGACCTTGTCGACGGTGTCGAATAATCCTATGACGGCTCCTTTAAGGTGGTTGAACGCACCGAAATAATTTTTATAATTGATAAAATGGACCACTGGGTACTGTTAGCGTAGGCGGTCTCAAAACTGCTTGGAGGGGTGATAACAGTGTTCTCTCCACTTACTCTACACTCTCCTTTGTCCCTACCCTGCCCTACCTCCAGTTTTGGCCGCTCCTTGAGATGCGTTGTCCGCTTTGCTGATTCTTTTCGACACTTTTCGAGAATTTGCTGTTTCACGGCTAACACTCTCGGCGGGGGGAGGGAAATTTGTAGCGGACAAGCAGCAATCGCGTCTGAGTGAACCTTGTTTACTGATCTAACGATGTCAATGACTCAACCCCTCTCCCATTGGTTACTCTTATCAGACGCGTTTCATCCGTTCACGCGCTAAGACACACACTTGGCTGGCGTGACGCTAATAAACCGTCGTGTTTTCTGTCGCCTCTCTTCACTATATTCTCCGGCTGTTACAAGATGTTAAATAGACCATTGTTAGGTAGTGCTAACCGAGCCACTACGGTTCTCCTACTTCCATCTCATGTCCTCAAAAAATCTGTTACGTTATCCGAAATGAGGTGACAAATTTGAGACCCCATTGAAACACATTTTACTGTTTCACAGCTAATACTCTCGGCGGGGTCCACTGAATCACAAGCAGCGACAGCTTGACACGTTAATATGTGTGCAGTCACGTTATACAAGGTGATTAATATCAATGAGCATAGTGTGCACACATTAAGTTTGTTTCAAGTTAAGATCTTGCTGATGTAGTCGCGCGTGCAGAATCGCTGGCCAAGTGATCGAATTCCAGGTAGTGTCACAATGCAAATTACAATGGTGAAATGAAGAAGGTGGACAGGACTAACATGTGAAATGTCACACAGATCACTAGGCATTCCTCACTGGTGCACCAGTAAAAGATTTAAAATTCTTCTCGTGATCAAAATTGATAATTTTTCCCAAGAACATAGATAATGACTTTCTGGTTTCCGCAGACACGAGGTGTGACTGTAGGTGTCCTGGTGTGGCTCAATGTGAATCACAATGTCAAATTTTAACGTTAAAATACGGGGAAAACAAGGCACTAGGCAGCACCACGGTGCAGTTATCTGTCTTGGAGCCTCATGTGCTGTGATGTAAGCCTTGGAATTACTTTTGTGTTAGCCGTCCTTAGTTCTCGCTGACACCATTCACAACATGGTTAATCGGTGTGCGGAAATCGCGGTCGTTTTGGTCATTGTTCTTCACTTTGTGTTTATGTAGCGTGATGTGTTGATCTTGAAACAACACGATTTTCATATTGGCCAGCTAATATTAGCCATCAGAAGTGACACCAAGTACAGGTAGCCAGCGCAGACTCTATCGGAAACCAGGCATGAATATCTCCGACAAACGCGAGCTCCACCTACGAGGCCTGGTAACACACGCGGTGAACGCAAACTTATCCGGGTCTTACATGAATGCAGTTTTTCATGCCGTCGATTGAGGGTAAGCTGACCTTGACGGCCTGTGTTGATCAAACCCCTGGCAAACTCTCAGTATCGATGCCAGACGTCCTTGAGTTTCCTTGTCAACCATTTCACATCCTTAGACAGTCTGCTACCTCATCCGAAATTGGGTCACAAAGTTGAGACTCTAATGGATCACAACTCTTGCCTACACCCCGGTTAGGAACATTGATGAGTTATGACTTCCCTAAAACGTGAAAATGCACCACGTTGATAGCATTATAATTCTGGAATTAAAAGGCGGCTGGGCGTAGACATGAAACAAATTGCATAGTAGAACCAACACCTCGAGAGCAAGAAAAATGTGCAGAATAAACTAGATGGTAAAAGTGGAAAGAAAGGGATGTGGCTTAGAAAAGTGAAAAAGATCACTGTCAAAATGTTTGCCAATAGAAGTCTGCTGGAAAAGCAGTCGTAGTGATCTCGGAGGGTGAGTCATTAATAGTAGAATAGATCGTCAAACATTGGGGGTGGATTAAAGCGAGGTTTGCGTCTGGGTGAGGATTTTGTCTGGACAGCTGCTGCCGCCGAGTGATCTGCAAGACAATGCACACGACTTGAGATTATCGGTGAAATTCATGCACTTGTGCCGCCACCAAAATCGTGAGCACACGAAGCGCCACGACCACTGACTCTGCCATAAAAACCACAGCTACTGAAACCAATTCAATCAGTGCTAGCAGTACCTGGGTGATTTGGTTCGGGGCGAGAAGTCACATGAACGTTTCGTGGTTTCGTCCCCCAAGCAGATGGCTTGATCAGGGGGCGTTGTTGTGCTATTGACTGGGTGTCATCACGGGCGGGACCAGCAACACCGTCACTTTCGCCTGCAGCTAATCGCTGTCCCGTCAGCACTAAAACGGAATGTTGCAGGATCATTGCGATTGTTGTCGATCCTAACCATTTAACATATCAGAAGTCTCATCAATGCTGACTCAGGCTGCGGTGAAACCATGCCGGCAACTAACTGACGTCTACAGGTGATGGTGGCTGTTCTTTTACGTCACTTACTGCCTCACTCTGAATCGGTTAGGACTAATGAGCCATTGAATTTGCGTAGACCTTAACTTACCAGCCAAAATAAGAGAGATTGAACCACTTACCAGTGAACGTTACCGCGAGCACCACTAAGACGACGCGCATTGTCACGTCATTGTAGGTATAAAAAGAACCTTAAATATGTCATTTACGCGATTTAGGGATTGGGCGAAAATGTACCATTGTGCAATCAGTTAATGTAAGGTATGGTTTTTGTTCACTGCTGCATGTAAAAACTTGTCTTGAGGTATGAGAGTAGCAAAAAATGTACCCTGTTTGGGCACATGGCTTTGGCAACATTTGGAAGTCTTGATTGCTCTACTCGTCATGTAGCAAGTTGCAAAATTTAGCCCTCAATGCCAAGTAGTTGCAAATAAACGACTAAAATAACTCCAACTCGTCTAACTTCCACTGAAATTTCCCCATTGAAGTAGTGACGGTTACAGTAAAGTTTGTGATGGAGATGCAAGTGGTTCTCTATAAGATTTACCTTAAAAAATTTGACCATAACCTCCTAATAAGGAAAATGAAGTCATGGGATTGTTTGTTTGTTCGAGGAATCTTCATTTTGTGTTCATATAAATAACGTCAATGTGAAGAAAACATCGCGGCAACTCAGGATTTAATCAAGTAAATACAAATGATAGCAAGCTGGTTGTCTTAGAGCTAATAAAACTTCGGAAAGGGGCCAGTTATATGTCATTATAAAAATTTAAGCCATTTTAAATATTGTAGATTGCCCAAATTTGGCTGTTTCAACAAATGATGGTTTTCGGAACATTCAGTGTGTTTATTTAGCCAACCAGGTTTTGTTTGTGGCGTGTTTGAGATCCAAAAGTCTGTTGAATTAGCCCTGATGCCACACGAGTTTTATCGGCTTACACAACTCCCGCTTCCCTTGTGCAAGGCGTACTTCTTCGTCAACATAGATGGCTCCAAGCCAATATCCTGACAAAGTCTCTTGGATCTATGCTGTACTTGTCGTCTAACACCAATAAGGTGATAGGAAGTCTTGGCTAACCCGAATGTTTTGTGCTAAACAGCCAAATTCTACCATCCACTTGTGATTTGTGCAATTCCTAAACACCTATTCAGGCACATCAGTCATTTACAAAGTGTATCGTCATAGCTAGACGAGCATGTTGGCGTTGTGATATGTCTTGTGTGTGTGACCTTGACGACTGATGCACCGAGTGTCGCCGGTTAGAGGCACTTAATTGGTCAAGACAGTGTATTTTGTTTCTTTAATACTTCCTTTTCACTTCAATGAATCAGACTGGATGTAGGAGTACAAGAGTAGCAGCGCTTTAATGTTGTCAACGCATGAAAGTGTTGACAAATTCTGGTCAGTTAGCCACCACGAGAGTATACATTGCTGGTTCATTTGTGCTCCGTTATACTGTCCTGTAATGTCATCATTCTCAACCCCCATTTTTCCCACCAGTGTCATGTTGGAGCATTGTGGGACAACTGTCCACTCCTCGACCACCTCCACAATTCATCTCCGTTCATATCTTGTGAATATTTTTCTAATTCACTAAGTGAATGTCGATAGCCAGCACTCTAGTGCATTAATACTTTGATGACAGTGCAAACAGCTATCACTTCCGTATACGACATTAGGACATACACGCACACGTGTATGACATGCAGAACCAAAGTCTATCAAGCCCAATCCAAAAGCCTTTGCTCCATCGTCGACCGCATTTACGTGAATGCCAATTTGAGTGGGCACCACATTCCTTCTGCCAATCCACTTGCCCAGATTTTTTAAATGAGGGTCAATATGTTCGAACACATTTGGCAAGTGTCGTCATCCGCAATCTGTTGTAATGTGGAGATGTCGATGTCACATACTCTTCTGATGAACGTGCAACCAAAAGCACATTTGCAAGCATGGTGGATTTGATTTCAAGTCAAAAATTAACCGAATATTAGGCACTTAACAGGAGCAGACAATCGTGGCTTCACTGAATGCGTCACGTCCGGGGCCAGAACAACATGCCAGCGCAGCGTTGAACGCCTTTCGTTGCGTGGGATCATTAATTGGAGGTAGGAAGTGGATCGTCGTGTAAAAGGTCACATCACGATCACAAATACTAACTAGTCATGAGCCAATTCAAAAATATCTGCTTCGTTATCACACATAGAATGGACGATATTTAGCTGCAGTCAAGTTGTTGAAAGTTATGTTCGAAAGGATCTGTTGGCTGTTCGGGAAGGAGAAGAGCTTCGCAGGAAGAGTGTGACTAAAGAATTTGAATGCAGAGAATTCTTGCGTTTAAAGTATCTTGTTGTGTATTTCGAACATCACAGGGAACAAAAACATCATAAACGGGCTGTTTCAAATTCGCATCGCATCTGATGGTTGTTAAACGCAAAGAATATTGACCGTGTTAACCGGAAAATCTAAAATATATTCACGGAATTATGCTCGTGACCACCTAGTGGTATGTGGATATTCACAGAGGGATGTTTGGTCTCCTGGATGTGATATCTGCGTTAGTGAGCAAACATTGTCCTCACGAGGTGATGTGATTGAAGTGGTGGTGAGACAATCACCTCTTTAGACAACGTTTTCCGCAACCTTGTCTTACTTTACGATTCCGCTAAACAGCCGTTGGCTTGAATCGAGACATAACTGAGAACAATTATTATTGGGTGATGAATGCGACACTTAGAAACGGAAGCAGGGAGCGTGAAGGTGGAATGCAAGGTTCACAATGACTGCGCTTGGCCTCATGTCACTCGACGGAAAGTGCAATTGTCAAGGAAATCACTTTGAGAAATCCATCTGTAGCAGTTCCCGCGTTCTCTCTGGCATTGCCTTCACGCATTCATATCTGCTTCGTTCTTTCCAAACTACGTCGATCGGCGTGAACACACTGGCTCCATTAACGAAGCCACTATTAGGTTACTTCTTTGTTTTATGCACTAAGGATTGTGTTGTTTGTTACGTTTAGCCGGTAACCAAGACCACACAGTCACTCAGATAATCCGTGCGCCAGGCTTCTTACCAGATGCTAGCCTCTCCGTCCTCCTATGCTAATGCAAGACAAGGTAGGGCCTCCTGCAGATGGCTTTTAATGCCTTAGCCACAGGCTCATTGGTTTGTAAGTCAGAGATGACCTTGACCTAGTGGATGAAAGCGCATGAACACAGATGGAGCTGCCAGTAGGATGCCGTGAGTGACTCACCCCTTGGAGTGGCGTGGTATGGGAATTTTGTGAACAATTACAAAATCCTAACCCGCCATGAGCAATGTCAGCCATGCGTGCAACTAATCGAAATGACAAAATAGCAATTGGGTCAGTTACGAACAGTATTTCGCTGTTCACTAGAACCATTTGACACTTCTTTAAATATCCTTCTGATGCTCCATGGTTCTGGAATTCCAGGGAACACCAAATATCAGCAGAGTCTTTGGTCAACCCACAATTTCATTTTTTGTTAACAGAACAGAGTGGCAACCATTTTTCCACAACATCCACACCGAAACATTCTGTCCACTTAACTTCCTGTTTGCGTGTCACTCGCAACCACACGCTGAAGGGTTGGTTGAAATTGGAACACAATTAACATCACTGCATGTCAGCGCCGGATGACTGCCTGAACCGACGCATTTTGTGGGGGTCGCAGAAGCCTGTGAGTTCTTCTGCTTGCATTGAGATGCCCATTCGACGCCAAATTTTCTCAAACACTATATTCAATGAATACCTCACTAACTAGTCAAACTGTACTGGGGCTGACCGGCCTACGCTGCCAAGTTGGACCAGGAGAAAGAAGACTTGCAGAAGAAGGGTGGTTTAATCAACCGCTAGGTACAAATTAGTGTGTTAATCTCACAACTCTCAAGTGGAAAAGCGCAATTGTAAGGATTTGACACGTGGACCTTCCAGTAGGACCTAACGACGAAATACGCAATGTTGCAAAATATAAGTACCAAATAACTGTGTGAATACATTCAACATGAAAGAATTTGGCTACAAATTCTTATTTTGCAAACTGTTGGTATAAAATCACGCACAGTGTGCTTGGTTGAGCAGAGGAGCAGGAGACAATGAGTAGAAATCTGGCGCTGTTGGTGGCAACCATCGTTGGTACGTCTCAAAGCCATCGCATTTTTGCCCTTTTTTATCTGCTTTTCACAAAAGCATGCAGAGAGTACCGAACTGGACTGACTTGAAATGAGTTCTTGCCTAGTTTTGGCAGATGTCAGAAGCTTGCAATGTTGACTGTGCTGATGTTACCTTGTTCATCTTTGCGCTTAACGCCACCAACTAGAGCACGTCCTGAGTTAACAGTACTTATTAAATGATTACATTAGGTTAATTGATTTATTTGCAGTTAAACTGAAGCATGAAATGTTTCACTTCCGTAAAATGAATTTCAAATTGAACCGATTGTGCAAACTGCTTCAGAGTTGATGATTTGTTTGATCGTCCTTAGTTTAGTCGATTTTAAAAGGTTGACATTAGTATTAATGACTTACTTCATTCTGGGCGAATATCCGGCATCGATTATAACATGATGTGCATTCAAGTGAATAATGATGATTTACGCGCTGACACAAAACTAACTGGTGAGACGAATTTACCACGTGTTGTCTCTTCAACTAACGTTTTGTCAGAATGCCTCAATCTGCATGCGATTTTAGCAACCTTGTGTCACTTTACGATTCTGCTAAACAGCCGTTTGCTTGAATCGAGACACAACTGAGAACAATTATTATTGGGTGATGAACGCGACACTTAGAAACGGAAGCAGAGAGCGTGGAGGCGGAATGCAAGTTTCAAAATGACTACGCTTGACCTCATGTCACTCGGCAGAAAGTGCACTGC